TTTTTGAATTTATTATCTTTTGTTCAACTTGGAACTTAAGTTCCATTTCTAGTTTGACCAATGACTATTTTATTTTTAAAAAAATACATTTTATTGATTTTTTTTTTACAGAGAGGAAGGGAGAGAAATAGAAACATTGATGAAAGAGGAACATCAATCAGCTGCCTCCTGCACACTCCCTACTGGATGTGTGCCCACAACCAAGGTACATGCCCTTGTCCGGAATCGAACCCAGGACCCTTGAGTCTGCAGGCCCATGCTCTGTCCATTGAGCCAAACTGGTTTCGGCCAATGACTATTTCAAAATATAAATGACAATTGTTCTATTTTGTAAAGTCTTATTTCATTGAAGTATATTTTGGCAAACTTTTTGACTCACTGTGATCTAATGGCACAAATATACTGGTCAGAGATCATACTTGCACATGACTTCAGAGAGCAGGCAGATGATGGAAGTATGTTAAGTTACCTAACACAATGGGAGTTATGGGGAGAATGCTGGTTCTCTTCCTACTAGTATGTAAGCTTGAGTGAAAGGATTCTTAGGCTCTTTGTTTACTGATATATCCCACGTGCCTATCAGAGATCCTAGTAATACAGGGTATGTGTTCAATAAATATTAAATGAATGAATACTAGAAAATGAAGGTGTTGAAATGTGTTGTACTAAGGAGAATAAGCAATACTTAATGACATTCACTCCTAACAAAAGATGCTTTGCCAACCAAACACAACCCATTTAGAGAACTCCTTGTTTGGAACCCATGGTGTTGTAAACAAGGTCACTTTCAGTAGACTTTTATGTATTTTTAAGAAACACCTTTACTCGGCTTTCAAATTTTCAAGTTCAAACTTTCAAGTTTTAAAAATGTAGGGCCATGAAATAGAAGCAAAAGTTTATTCATAGTATTTTTCTCCTGTCTTCCTTTAACTCATGATGTACTCATATTAATTTCATTTTGTGCCACTCTCCTGATGAATAAAAGTGCCCCTAATCACCACTAAATTGTTCCTTGTTCTTCTTTCTTAATCTTTTTCACATTATGTCCAAGTCACAACAACTCCACACGGGGAGGATGGGCTGCATTTCCAGGTGAGCCCCAGGTCCTAAGGGAGGAACTGTCAGCCAGGTCATTGAATTTACATGAAAAGGATGTCCTGGCAGACACTATAGGATCCTGCCTTCTTATAGAATGTTCTGGAGGTTACTGTGGTTTCTTTTCACAGATTCCACATTCAATGTCCTCTGTCTGAAGAATTTCTCTGGACCCTGAAATGTGTTCAGCCAAAGCACAAGGCTGGGATGTTAAAAACCATAAAATATTCCTCAACTAATTAGAGACAAGAGTTGGTAGATAAACACCCTGCTCAGCCTCTTTGCTCTTCAGAAGGAGAGTTCTGAGTATGTTTCATGTAACTGTCTCTTAAAGATTTTCCAATAGCAGGGAGCCAAGTTTCCTACAGTGACAACACATTCATAAGTGCTTTTTTACTCTTCTTCTATTCCTCTCTCCCTTCTCTGATCTATTAATATGCATCTTGGAATCTCCACTCAAACACTACTTGTATCAGGACATGCTTTGGGGGGAATTCAAAACAAGAAAAATTCTATTTTAGCTGAGGATTTTTTCAATTGGAGCATATTCTGTTTTGTTTTGTTTTTTATGTTTCCCAATACTCTTGATTTTCTCTATGACTCACTTTCTAATTACGTATAGTCAAAGAAATACATATTAAAATATTTCTAACTCAAGGCAACTAACAGCTTTATATCTAATCGAAAAGTCTGGAGTGGAAAACTACACTCCTATTTAAAAATTAGAAGTCCTAATCCATGGATGGCCAAAGTGTCTAAGATGATTAGCAATGCATTGTTTTCAATTTTTAAAAGCATCTTTATCTTAAATAATCAATTATGTCAGGTAGCAGTAAATATAAAATACCCGAAAAGTCATTGATCTCAGCTAAAATTGTATTTTCTTCCTACAGAATATATTCATAATTAACCCCAAACTAAATATCTCCATCACACATCCAGAGGACCTTATGAGGAACTGACTCACTAAAATTGTAGTGGGCATGAATCTCAGTTTACAAACTCAGGTTTGAATGTATATGTTCATAGTCGTCTAAACTTTAATTATATTTTTATCACAACCACCTATTCTGCAATAATTGTAGAAATCAATGTGGGTTTGCCATTTCTGCCAGATTTTTTAAATTAAAAATCAGAGGCCTGATGTACAAAGTTCATGCAAGGGTAGGCCTTCACAGCCCCAGCTGCCTCATGGCCCCACTCCCTACCTATACCTCCCTTGGCCTGGTGCTGGCTGTATCCACTACTACACACCCAGGGTTCTCCGGTTCAGTGGAGCCCCTTGATCAGTCGCCCTCAGAGGGTGGCCTGGCCTCTCTCTTTGGGGTGATAGCAGAGCCCACCAATAGGGCCCACTGGCTGATGGCCTGGGCCTCCCTCTGCAGGGTGATTGTGGGGTGATGGCGCCCCCACCCTGACCAATCACATTGCCTCTGCCTTGGCGGGTCTGGAGCCAGAACATGTGATAACATAGTCATCCAGAAGGTTGTCTAAATGGTTGTTCTGCTGTTCAGTCATTTGGTCAATTTGCATATTGTGCTTTTATTATTATAGATTTTTAATGTTGACATTACTGCAGATATACCTTTCCCTTATTAGTTCCCCCCACCTTGCCCAGCTTACTCCTCTCTTGGCTTTCACCAAATTATTGTCCATGGGGTATGCATATATGTTCTTTAACTAATCCCTTCACCCCCACCTCCCTTCTCAGGGGCAATGGCCAGCTTGTTCCATGTATCTATGCTTCTGGTTCCAACTTGTTCATCAGTTTATTTTGTTCATTAGATTCCACATATTAGTGAGACCATGTGACATTTGTCTTTTTCTGACTGGCTTATTTCACTTAGCATAATATTCTCTAGGGCATCCATCTTGTCTCATTTGGTAAGAGAGTTCCTTATTTTTTACAGCTTTGTAGCATTCCATTGTGAAAATGTACCATTTAAGCACCTCAAGACCAGAAAGATGAACTATCTGGTTAAAAAATGGGCAAAGGACTTTAATAGACACTTCTTCAAAGAGGACATATAGATGGTCATTAGACATATGAAAAGATGCTCAAGGTCACTAATCATTAGAGATATACAAATAAAAATTATCATGAGGTATCACCTCACACTTGTCAGAATGGCTAATATTAATAAGTCAACAAATAACAAGTGCTGGAGAGAATGTGGTGAAAAGGGAATTATTGTGCACTGTTGGTGAAAATGTAGAATAGTGTAGCCACTATGGAAAGCTTTATGGAGTTTCCTCAAAAAATTAAAAATTGTGCTATCTTTTGATTTTCACTTCTGGGGATATATCCTAAGAATACTGAAACACCAACCAGAAACAATATATGCATCCCTATATTAATAGCAAAATTATTTACAATAGCCAAGATCTGGAAACAAGCCACCAGATTTTTTAAAAAATGGATACAAGGAACAGACTGATAGCTGCCAGAGGAGAGAGAGTGGATTGGATGAAAGAATGTGAAGAATTATTCCAAAAAACATATATACATAAAATATAAGCACAGAGGAAAGTGTGGTGATAGATAGAGGGAAAGGAGGTGGAGCTAGGTGGAGGTGGGCAAAGGTGGGGAGGATGGGACAGAAAGAGACTTTGGAGCAATAGTCACCAAATGTAGTGTGTAGATGATGTTTTATTGAGTTGTATATTTGAAACGTATGGTGTAAAGAACAGATGTCATCCCAATAAATTTAATTAAAAATAATAATTTCAAAGGGGTGCTATGCTTACCAAAGTGAGGGACATGAGGGCTGAATTTTTTGATAGGCCTGAGACCTCCCTCATTCCTATTGTGTGAGGTCAATTAGCTTGGCCTGTCTCTCTTCTCCTTCCATTCCACTTTTGTAGGGTTGTTCCTATCAAGTATGGAGCTTTTTCTGTGAGACTCACAGTATGTCTAGCCAATCACACTCAGTGATCTCAATCCCGAAGGGGCACATAGGTCCTCTCTGCTCTTAAACATCCAAATGTTTGGGATTTGGATATGGGAATCAAGAGGCTAATTCTATCGCTTTTTTGTTTGCACTGAAGTGTCTGTGGCTTAGGCCACGCCCCACCCCAATTTTTTCCCCCCTAAGAGTGGAGGGAAGAATTCCCTTTTCAGAGATATTTCCTAAAATATATTGTTCAGATTGTAGTTACTGGGTTTAGGATTTTGGAAAATATTATAGAAACAGTAGACTGGCATTTCTTCTTTCTTTTCTCTTCCCTTCTTTTTCTTCCTCTTCTCCTCCTTTTAATCTTCCCAACCCTTCATTCTCCTTCTCATCATCAGCCTTATACTTATTTTTTATTATATTTTTATTTATTTTAGAGAGGAAGGGGGAGATAGAAATAATTGTCTGCTTCTTGCATGCTCCCTACTGGGGATAGAACAGGGACATGTGCCCTTGACCAGAATCCAATCCAGGACCCTCTGCTGGCCAACGCTCCATCTACTGGGTAGTGATCTTTAACATTAGAGAAACTGCTATGGTGACCCATGCCTTCTATCGTTAAGTACTGGGAAGATTATCAATCTGAAAATCTGACTGGAAACACAATTAATTGTGAGCACTTTTAATGTACAGAATATTTACAACTGGTAGGATGTGTATTTACACATGTGCTATGTTAAAAGCAGGACTTCCCCTGAAGACACCCAAACTGTAAGAGGGCGCAGGCTAGGCTGAGGGATACCTGCCCCTCCCCCACCCCCAGTGCATAAATTTCCATCCACTGGGCCTCTAGTATATAATAATTATATATGATTTTAATTTGATAAATACAATAAGATTTTGACTAGAGAGAACCATACTTTAATTGTTTGAATAAATACAAAGCATGCTGTTGAATTCTGGTTGTAGTAGATCTAAATAGGTACGTGTTTTTTTGTTTATGTCTTTTAGCATCTCCGTCAATTAAACTCTTGGTGGATGACCCTATAGTTGTAAATCCTGGAGAGGCTATAACATTAGTGTGTGTTACGACAGGAGGACAACCTGCACCGACGCTCAGCTGGGCCAGGTCCTTTGGGCCTCTGTCTGACAAGACTATTCTGCATGGAGGAACTTTGACCATACCTGCCATCACTTCAGAAGATGCTGGGACTTACAGCTGCGTTGCCAATAACAATGTGGGAAACCCTGCAAAAAAGTCCACCAACATCATTGTGAGAGGTAAGTTTAGAGATTATTATAACACAGATTTGATATAAAATATTTCCTCAAATTTGCATATATACATAAACAGAAAAAAATGTTTATAAATAATGAATGATGTCTAGTTATAAATAAAACTTAAAATTTCTAAATCTTAATCACAATGCCTTACATTTGCATTGAATAGTTTTCATGACATACTATTAGTGGTGCCATTGAATAGTTCTAATCATATGTTTTTAGTGAAAAACAAGTTTAAAATGCAATTGTAGCATAGACCATTAATCACTGTTATATAGTTTGTGTGATTACTTTAGGAGTTTCACAGATTTATCAACTTAATGGTTAATAAACATTTATTAAATCCCTATTAGAAGCAGATTTTTAAATTGTGAGATTATATAGATATCTATAAAACATTAACTTGTATTCAAGGATTCTATTGTCAGGTACTAAAAATTAAATGAATAAATTAATAGTCACATGATACAGTGTTTGGCAAGCAGAAGCAAACGTTATAGAAATATTTAAAATATATAGTAACTTCTTGAACAGATTATTAGAGAATATCTAATGACATTTGCATTATGTCTTAGACAATGGGTAGAGTTTAAACAGACTGAGATTAGAGAAAGACATTGAAAAGTCAGGAATGCAATGTAGAATCCTTTATTCCATTATTTTATCAAGGACAGGAACTCACTAGAGAAAAATGATGCATTGAATCTAGTTTGATCACAGGATCATCCTCAGCTATATTGAATCCATGTACAAAGGGCAATGTGTCCAGCATAAAATGCCTGTGTTGCTCAGGCACCTTTTGTAAAGGATGAACTTAATCCACAGTATATATATGCTCAGGAAATAATTTGCTTTTTTCCATCCTAACAGTTTTTATTTGTGTTATTACAAATGATCTAAAATGTATTTCTCCAATTTATAATTTTTATCCCTTTAATTCATCTGAAATACATATTTTCATAGTCATTATTATCAGAAAGCTCTCAGCAGTGTCATTCACATAATTTATAAAATCAAGTTTGAGCATAACCTTATTGAAGACAGAAATAACCTTGTCAGAGGGTCCCAGATTACACTGCAGGGAGAGAAATTGCTACAATACCATGAGGCATCTACTTTCTGCCACAAAGGCCAAGAAATACAGTTAAAGAAATATGTTTTATTTTTATTATAGCAAAGAAATTATCCTTAAGTGCTCTGAATTTGTAAATCTTTGTAGTGTCTTCAGTCCATTGTGTCATGATACAGTAGAAGTAGAACCTAGGTTTATTTTCTCCCCATTCTTTTTCTGTAATTAAACCAAGACCCACAGACCAGGTTTTCTGAGGAAGCACCAGGATATATCGTGCATAGAATTCTCATTGTCGTTTGAGAATATCTTTGGACAAAATGAAAGTATAGGCTTCATAGGGAGAGAAAAATCCAGAAAGTTTCTGAGTTCATTATTTTATTTTTTTTTTTAAATATAAAACACTTCAAAATAAACATTTTAGGTAACACTCCATGTAGATAACAAGCTCAGAACTGAAGGTAAATTTCATGTTTTAATATTTTATTAGAATATTTATAAATATAGCAGTGATGCTTTTTTCTTAGACTTTTTAAAGAAATTGCATTTCTCCCAAGGAGTTGCTTAATAATTTGATAAGAAAATATGTTGATTTCCTAGTCACATGATTGGTAGCCTGAGCCCAGGGCTTTCCAAAGTCCTGTTAGATAACATGCCATTCCACCTGAAGTTCCCTGTTGTTGTGATTCACTGTATTTAGAAATTCCCTCATTTCTTTCCTGTTGTGAATTGAACCTGTGCTGAAAGAGCATGATTCCTAACATGATCAAGACATTATTTATTTTGGTGTCCTGTGGTCATTTCAACTTTCATGCAGTGTTTTCATATTTCCTTCTTCAGGAAGAAAAGTCAGGCACACCGTGATCCTTCTGCTCATTCTTACAAATAGAGATTCCTACAGTACATTTAAATAGCAAGCACACATTTATTAGTGTTTTGGATGCATAATCCAAAATACTGTTAAAACTTCAAACCTGAAAATTCAAAATGCTCTCCCCTGACCAGCTTGGGTCCTCTTTGGGATGGAGACCTGACCCTATGGGAAGCACTTCAGTAGGACTGAAATGGTGAACTAGGTTCTCCCTCGGCCAACTTAAGCTTGGAAAAAGGTGCATCTCACAATTTTCTTCAAGATATCCTTCTAATCAAATTTGGTCTCTGACTCATTACTTGTCTATATAGACCAAGAATCATAGAATCTGTGTTTTTCACTACCTTTTAAAATTCTACATAAGAAAGTGTCTATTCTGCAGATGACACTATAGGATTCTGTGTCATCTATTCTCAGGAAAAGTGAGTCAGGAAAAGTCTATTATATTATCTAATTTCACAAAAATATTTAAAAAATTATTATAATTTTCAAAAATTTTAACTGATATTTTAAATTTTGAATTTCAAACTACACTCTAAATTTGACCACACCTTGTTACATCCACAGTTACTGACCCATGTAAACTAATGATATATCTCTCCTACTTGATTAAAAAGCATTTTCATTATCTTTTCAGTCTAGCCGCTCTTATAAAAGGGGCTTTTTTTTTTTGTTTTGGGTTTTTTTTTCACTGTTAACCTAGAAGCAGACTAGATTTTCTACATGAAAGAGTGCAAGGTTTTGCCTAGTTGATAATGGTGATGTTGTGTGCATGATTGGGGCGTGTGTGTTGGGAGGTAGTTGTAGGCGTAGAGAATCTATTCCTTGCAGTTATTCAGGCACCTGAGCTGATGATGCCTCTGCCATCCTCACCCTTTGGTTACTGAGGGTCCTCTGAGTGTTACCTGTTTTCCTATCAGCTGGAACAGGGGAAATTTTTATGGGTCAGGTATGTGTTAGATCCAATCACATTTATTAACTAGATATTAGGCAACCATTTACACCTTATGATGTGAAGTCTGAGACATGTATTTTTACCATTTGCCAAGGAATAATAGGACAAAGGTTGTTGTCAGTTCCTAATCTTCTCTGTTGTATTCATACAAGAGAATATGATTGAAATCATCTCCATCTCCCGATCCTCCCATAGCTTCCCATCTCACCTAAAACGAAATTCAAATTTGTCATCATCATTTCACATCTCCCTCCTCTTTGCTCACTCTACTTTAGACATATTATCCCTATTGCTCTTTTTCATGGGTCAGGACAGATGCATTTGCTGTTCATCCTGGAATGTTAATTTTAAAATACAATCTTCTGAGAAATGACTTTTATGATTACTCCATCTTAAATAGTGCACTCCTAAATCCCTTGCATGGTTTTTGTTTCTTCTTATCACATAACTGCCTGGAATTATTTTATACATATTTCTTTATTTGATGTCTTTATGTCTTGGGACCCTATGGACAAAAAATATATATTTTGTCTTAGTGGTATATTGCTAGAACATTAAAAAAAAAAAACAAAAAAAAAAAACTACTAGGCACACAGTAGATAATAAATATATATTGAGTGAATGACATCTTTTCTTTTTTTAAGTACACTGGCTTATATTAGACATTTCTTCTGGACACCTGTCTCTCTTTAATAGCCTAAGTATGTGCCAGGTTATATGAAACAAAATTAGGAAAGTCTGTATATCTATGAGATCATATTAGGTATTTGTGTAATGTGACTGGCTCATTTTAAAGCTGATATTGTTATGATTATTCATTGCTGTGTGACAAGCCTCACAAAGCAGTAGTATAAAACAATTTATTGTGCTCACAAATCTGGAGGTGAGAAGGCCAGCTAAAATTATTAAGGGTATCACATAAATTGAATTAGAAGGTGGCTGGGACTAGAGTCATATTTATGTTTTTTTTGTGTAAATATTTGATTCTAGGACTAAATAGCTCAAACACAACTATGTTCTCTCTCTCTCTCTCTCTCTCTCTCTCTCTCTCTCTCTTCTTTCTCTCTCTTTCTCTCTCTCTTCTCTTTCCTCCCCATCTCCTCCCCATCACCTCTCTCAGTAGTCTCTTTATATATTTTCTCCATATGATGGCCTCAAAATTGCCAGATTATTGCAGATTCCAGGGTCCAGGATCTCAAGAGTTGTATGGGTTCTTCTAATCTACCTTCTGAAGTCATTCAGTCATCACTGTATTCCCTTCATCAAGATAGTGATAATGGCTAGCCTGGTTCTTGGATGGAATCTAATATCTCCACCTCCTGAAGGGAGGACTGTCAGGCCATCTTCAGACATGCTTTAAGCCATCACATTATGCAGCACACTGCACACACTGTATTATTCACATCAGACTTCCATGATGCCTCAATTCTCATTTATACCTCTCTTCCTTCCTTTTCTCCTTAATTTCATCAATCTATATCTTATACCCATGACCACTACAAAGTGACATTGTAAACAGGTTTATATTTTAATTTTAGTATGATTCCAGACTTTATTTTGTTGGCTATGATCTGATTCCTAGCATGAAGAAATAAAACAATATGTCAATATTGAAATAGATTTAACCTTTATAGAAGAATTCAAAAGTATGTATTCAGTGGGGCATGAATTTACACCTTCTTAAACACACACAAATATGCTATAACATCCAGGAACATCATAACTCTCTGTTCTGAAAGTGCTGATTTACCTTACTCTATTCAAGGGAAAATATTGATTGAAAGTATTGATTGACTTGTCCTAACCAGTTTGGCTGAATGGGTAGAGCATTGGCCTGAGGACTGAAAGGCCCCAGGTTTGATTCCGGTCAAGGGCATGTAGTTTGGTTGAGGGTACATCCCCAGTAGGTGGTGTGCAGGAGGCAGCTGATCGATATTTCTCTTTCATAGATGTTTCTAACTATCCCTCTTCCTTCCTCTCTGTAAAAAAACAATAAAATATATTTTTAAAAAGAAGAAAATATTGATTGACTTAAAAATCTGACTTTTAATATTAGACATATTTGTTTGGGACTAATTTAATATAAATATACAAAATATTAG